GGCAGGACTTAGTGTACTAGCGCAACAAGGGAAACTGATGAGTTATTAGCTAAATCGTTTGCACACGCCTCCTCGTTTTGTGCTAATTACAATATACTTGCAGGGGACTTCAATCTTCCAGAAGTCGATTGGTTAAGTAGTTCCGGCCCCCAACCCTTCGACGAATTACTTCCCACTATCGACTGTTACGGATGGCAACAACACCTTCAGACACCTACTCGTGATGACAACATGTTGGACCTTGTTTCCTGTCATGACACAATCCCAGTATCCACCTATGTAGCTAATACACTTTCCAGTAGTGACCGCAGAATGGTACTCTGCCTTCTACATCACTCACCACAAAATACAGGAAACAAAATAGGTTCAGGAAGCATAATAGTTTCAAGTTAGTATGGCACATCTTATAAACTAACTTGCTGTCCATTGTCGGATCTTTAAATACCACTTCACAATGTCTTATCAGATTCATTTTCTAATAACGTCTTTACTTGATCCTCATTATATTCCATTAAAGCTAACATTTTGTAGCTCTTTATGAATTTGATTCGACTTATTCTATTCTTATTCTCTAAAGGATACGATTGTGCACCAAATGCACAAAAAGGCATTAAAAATAAAAAACCGGCATGAGGAAAAATGTAATAAAACCAAAAGTGGACATCATGATAGTAAGACCTATATGGGCAGCAGTATACATTGCAAATGAACGTTGTCAGCCTAGGGAGTTTCCTTCATTAATGCATTTATTAGTGACACTTGCACTTACCCATTTCATTACACTTTATTGATTCACCTTAGTACTTTTACTTTTCTAAAACAGCTTTTACTCCCTTGTCAACGTTGTACTTACCTCAATATTGGTTGGTTATCGTATGCTTACAACCACGGGATGAAAACGAAACGAAGTCGATTTTCCCGGTCAACCTGGGGGACAACTGTACAATTCAATAACTATACGGCCTGGTTCAGACAATGAGTGTGTATATATATCAAATATTTAGCTGTTGAAACATTATTAACTTGTAGACAATCTACGATTTGATATTATATCATACTTGATGGTGCCTGTAAAAATGGCATGCATTTTCATGTAAATTTATATGTCTACGTGAGAATATACATTATTATTTTTATTCTCCTGTCGCCAGCATAATAGTAAAAAATCCCATTCCTGAGGAATATTTTGAAACTAGATAAACTAGCGTTGTCAATGGAATTTCGAATATCCAATCCTGCAATCACTCGGTGCAACTGATGACAAACTTGACCATTGACAGCGGCGAAAATACTACGAGCAAACTTCTCCGACAGATCTCGTCGCTGATCAAATCCACTCGGCACCGAAGTTGTTATTACGTGATAGGTGATATCCACGTATATGTCACAAGGATCACTGGTGTTGCAAGATGTGAAAACACAAATCCGAGCTGTTTCACCTTGTTTCTGATGCCTCTAAATTTGTTACATATACATTCAATGGTTTCCGCCAACGTATAATTATTATGTTCCGCGGTGTATGGTGACTGTTTTAGTTCATATCTTCACTATTCTGGACGGCCACCTCTCTTGCAACCAACTTCGCTCCCGTCTTGTGAGCGAGTGATTGACTTCAGGTTCAAATTAATGTTGATCTGTAATCACGTTCGATTGATCTTTGGAATCACTCTCCTCCCTTGTTGTCGTAGAACTGTGGGAATACTGGCTCAGCATGAAATTGCTTTTAACCGTGTTTACTGCTCTAGTAATTTCGCATTGTGAATGGAATGCCACCTACTAATATTTATGTATACGCGTAACGAGAAAACTCTTTCTACAAAATTCAAAATGTTTCCTTATAACATATATGATAAGATATTTCAAAGTAACCGCATCATCCTACACATATGCGTATATACATATATTCTGAAACATACCACCCAAGATTTCAAAGCATGGAATTATTGCATATGAGTCCATTTATGGACTTGGAACCACTACGACTAGAGAAGGGAGAATATAACTCTCACGTATGCTCCAAGGTGTGTTTATTAGCCGTGACAGGATTAGGCCATAGCGATACGCAATCACACTACGAAGCCGCCACTGAGTTCTTGTCTCTTGAGAATTGTGCTGACCAGATTGTGTTTCAGTCCACATGGATAAACAAATTGACCGTTGACGGTGAAAGGTCTGAGACTCAACTGACTTCAAGAACTTCTTTGTTCTCCTATCGTATGGACCCATCTTTATTTATTCAGGCCCACTCCTCGGCGTTGAGGTAAACGTCCCTTGTTTTCGCGGGCAGCTGCATAATCCGTTAGAATGATTGACTGTTATTGCTTCGGTAGACGTCCAGTGGAGTAGTTGTACGCGACAGGATCTTGTGTGGACGACAGGACGTCGTGTGAGGAAACAGTTGAAACGGCGCGATCGGAGTTAAATATCTCAACAGTCATTTGTTCATCTGGCCGAAGAGTGAGATAATACTGACAGTAACCACAACTGTAATAGTAAATGGCAAATGTACAGTTAAAGAGACAAACAGTTAACCAGAAACGAATGTATAGATACGCCACGCAACGATTGGTGTTGTAATGGTAGACTAGAAGCGAGGTGGCCAATGAGAACAAAAATGAACTTCACACTATTCTTATAGGTCCTACAATACAAAGCCTCTACAAATATTAGGACGGCAAAATTTAGACAAGATAAGCCCTACAAACGCAGGAAGCATAACTGTCTAGTTGATGCATTGGAAGCTTTAAAGCTTTTGACGACCTGCGCCTAAATTTCGAAGGGAACAGCATTATATATTCTATGCTTTCAAACATCGTTACAGCTAATACCAAGTCTTAAGCATAACATTACCTGAAACATAGACTGTAGAATTCTTGGTGTAGCTCACACGGAATACAAGGTGTTCCATGATGGCCGACTAAGTATCTAAACACAAATAATGGCTTAATTCGAGGAAAACCTTGTCAAAAATCGTAGGCAGTGCTTTGCGGCTACCATTTCATTATAAAGTATGTATCTCGAGTTAGGTTTATTGACTGGCTCTCAACAACGCCATCCAAGATATTTGCACAGAATTTGCTATGTGCTAGTAGTCCGTTGCATCTTTCACAAAGCGAAGTCTGTATTGTAAGTACATTCTCCGCCGTACCTTCGACATCAGTGTTTGAATTCATACACTCACAACACATTTTTGGATTCACTGGGCTGAAACGTAACTTAACACGTAATTAAGCAGAAAATTCATTAAAGGCTAGTCAGATAAAGCCAAGAAACCCGAAATCCCAAGGTGTATACAAGAGGTCGAAAAGTATTGGATATTGGATTTTCAATTTTGTTTAGTCAAGCCATCGCACGCCGGACAACGGACAGTAGTTGAAAGTTGCGCTTACTATTGTAGTAGTTCGTGTCAGCATGTCAGAAAGGTGAGGTCGTCCATTAGTCTACCGGCTTTCAGATGTCTCTTGTGAGTGTGTTAGTCGACTTAGGGATTTTGACAGAATGATGTTTGCTTGGAGTTGTCATCCAATTGTTGTCCAACGGACAAGTATGTCGCGCAGTTGAGACAGTCACACTAATTAGAGATCCAGGTGATATTCAATGCTGATTGTGAATAAAATTGCATACTGCAATCTATATGACGGTCTTTTAAGCACTACTGAATTACTCGGTTGTGTTTTGTAGAGGGTTTTAAGGACATCCACGTGGACGTGGATCATCAGGCCTGGTGGTTGGAGAGACCGTGGTGAGTCAGGTGGGTCCTGTGGAAATGGGTGGGTGTGGATTGACCTGTATGATTTTTCGCCATTAACATTATCCACATAACTGCCATCCTCTACGTGCAAAGCTGAGAAGCGTAGAAGTATTTTAGCGCATACCTCACCAATGTCTTTCTAGTGTGGTTTCAGTTCCAGCTTGGAAGCAGTGTAACTGAGATATCCCAAAGACTGAACGCCTTTACCACAGAGTGGTGACTCGGAAAGTCATCTGAACTTCGGTGCATCAAGCTTGTTTGACGGAATTGAGTTGTCTAAACACACTGAGTAGTCGCGGTCCACTTGTGGTGTGTTTTGATGATGGTCGTGAACGTTAACTACATGTTGACTGGAGTTCCTGAGAATCTGTGTGGAACGAAGATTGATGAGGTGTGGCTAACATGGAGGATGAAGAGTGAGCGTGTTATCTGTGGTAGTATTGGTTCCTACTATCCCATGAACCATAGTTAGACATGCACACCGTAGTCAAGACCACCAGTTATTACGTTGGGGATATGCACTTCGCTTCAACTTTACTAGTCCGAAATCCCGTGTTTTCAAACCTGAGTCGTCGATGGTTGCAGTGGGATAATGATTGTATTACCTCTACCAGACAAAACAGCAAGTAAATATGTACGCCATCGATTGATTCATTTAACTTGTTTGTTCGACTCTCTTAATCCCCATCCCCACCCAATGACTATCGTTGGTGAATTGTAGGTCAGATTTGTCAGCTGCGATTCCACACATAAGATGAGAGTAGGGGAAGCTATTCGACACCTGGTTATCGTCAATTCGACCTCTGATTTGGCGTTGCAAGGTGTGGAGGTCATGAATTTTGTCCTGTTCATTTAGCCACGGTGGTTTGCAGTTGTTTCATGAATGATGAGTTGGCGAGCAGTAGTATTGTGTCTGTTGTGTTCGGATATGTATTATGTAGTCCGCTGTCATCTTCCAGATTTATTTATCAGTCGGCCTCCACAAATGACAGAGTAGCACTGCTCGTATTCGTGGAGTGCATAACGACTAATATGTTGTTTTTCACCCTTCAGGTCACGCGTTAACAATTCAGGACCGTTGAAGAAGCCTGCTGAAAGGGTTATCCAGCGTAAGTTTATGAGTGCTCACAATAACTCGTAATAGTTCGTCTGGTTCTGTGTGGAGTTCCAATGCACCTAGTGAACGGGGTGATATTCCGTCGTCTTCGGAAGGCGAAATTGTCTCGGAAGCTGCCCGCCAGAAAAAGAGCCATCCAGTCCAAAAGGCTGTGTGAGTACTATTCCTGTTGTTCCTTCAGATAACACGACATGTTTTGTCTTGATGCCTAACTAGCTTTCGTTTCTTTGTTTCAGGTATGACATATCTACGGGGATTTCAAAGTAAGTTGACGTCAAATAAACTAACAGTATTTGTCTTCATTGCTTCCTTCGGTAACGCTCCCGAATTGACTATTTTTTCAGACTGAACATACAGAAGACACTCAGAATACCGAATAGACCAGACCAAGGAGGTACACTCGGCAAGAAAGTCAAAGTCACTTCAAACTGTTGGGATTTGACATTTCATCACAAAACGGCATATCTCTATTTTGTGGAAGCCAACTCAGTTCATCGATTGGAAGCTAAGGAGGGCAGTAAAACTGAGATAAGAATGCCACCTAAAGAGTTGAGATCTTTAATTCAGCAGGTAGCTGACTCGTAAGTGCCATTGTGTTATTGATCAAATGGATTGTTTACATATGTAACGGAACTTTCTGTTCCTTAATTATTAAGCTGAATTGTTTCTCTGACTTTCGGTCAAGTATTGCTTGCTTGTCAACCAAAGATTCGTACACGTGTAGGATAACTTGTTCCATGTCCCACACCATTTATTATGTGACTTCGGTTACTATCAGCGTTGTTTAGAAAGAATTGGTGAAGTTGTTGGTTATGGCTTCTATTGAGAGCAATGGTATCTATTAATAAACCTCATGCTAAACAATTATGCTTATTTCACTCGCTTCTGCAGTTTACCAGATACGATCATATACGATGGCGGTCACGCCATATACTCTGAAGATCCGTTACCTGGTGTCACAACGGACCCCGTAGAAAGACAGATTGAGATCAAGGAGCCGTTTGGTCGGGACCGCCTTCTTCTGAAGTACCGGATTATGGAAGTGCAGAAGGTATCTAGTTCCGACATCAGCCATTTCATAACGAATCCGAAAGCGACCTCTATGAACATGCCTCAGGTAAGGCTGAATATGTTTCATATTTGTCTCTAGGAATGTATCAGATTGTTAGACTGCATCTTGAAGACGGTGTCAAAGCAGTCGTTTGTATCCCTTGGACGCTCAGCCCTATTTCAGCAAACACCAATTAAAGTGGTTATGGATAAGCTTTTTACTATTCATAAGGGTTTCATCAGTAGTGTGCGACCCCAGTGGAAAGTTCGTGTCAACTTGGATATGGTAAGTAGTGGTTCACCTTCTTTTTTACATATAATCACAGACGTGCAAGGCCTACTTTGTATCCGGGAATCTAGCGGACGTCATGTATTCGAAGTATGGAGACGATATGGTTAGATGTAGCACTCAAATGGCATACGACTTGAGAAAGATACGAGTTGAGACTGATAAATTCTACAAGAGCGATGATGGTATGCATGTTTTCTGTTATACCTCATACATTTTAGGACGTGCATATTCCCGACGCTTCACCGTGCACGGGATATCATCACTACCAGCCGATCGTTTGATGATTGAGGAGTTGAACCAGTCCGTGGCTGAATATTTCAAGCAGCACCATCATATCACTCTGAAGTATCCAGAACTGCCCTGTGTGAAGGTAAATTTTCATTTCAGTGATTATTTTTGTAGGTTGATCAAAAGCGTGAAGTGTATATGCCGATGGAACTGTTAAACATTTTGCCATATCAAGCTCCTAATGCGAGTAAAGCCGATATTGCGAGTGAAGTTATCCGTTGTGCAGCAATTCGACCACAGGAGCGCTTCAGAGAGCTGGAGAATTTTGCTAATAATATGCTGAAGTAAGAGTTTCAATTATGAGTTGTTACCACGGGTCAGTACTAAAGTGTAGTGTTGCTTATTGATCCAAGAGTTGAGGGTAAGCATGTTGAGATAGACGAGCTTTGATGATTGATTTCTTCGACATTCCATGAAGCTTATAGCTCAACACTCACTGTTGTAGCGCATTAAAAGGATGGTGAGAAAGTAGAATGAGCAGTAGGTTACAATGCCAACCCTGGATACATGTGGAGATTTCCGAATTATCACACTTAGCTTCTATAGATTCTTTGGTGATGTTAATGGAAGAGTCCTCTAGAATGGGCGGAGAAGTGCTCAAGATAGTGCTACTTTAAGTTGTAGTCGATGAGCTATGGATCTGTAGGTCCTTCTAACTACAAGCCAACTCAGTTTTCCCATGATTGGAAATTCTAGTCTTCATTGTATTCCTGTAAAGAGACAAGTTGAAGGTGACAACGGAAGCACACTACTAGACGAATGATTGGTTATAGTTGTATTTCATTGGTTGTTTACGCACAGTGATAAGCTTTCGATTTCTAGCAAAATTGATACTAGCTATTGGAATTGAAATACAATTACACTTGATTGATGTATTCCACAATGCGTAAACTTCTTACAGATATTATTAGATGAGCCCTTTGTGAACGTTTTGATGACAGAAATCTGCTGTCCGTTGTGTCAGCCGTAATTTTGAAATTTGAATAAATGTGAGGCAAACACCACAATCCTTCTCGATAAGTGCCGGAGATCCTTGACGTAACGCCTACCTACAGAGTTTATTGTTTGTTTTCCAAGCATGCAAGTAGATACGACATACACTGTTTTGTACATCGATTCGATAAGGACGCAGAATGTGGCGGTGTCTAGTTGGTTATAGTGGGTCACGAGTTGTATAATTGCACGGACCTGCGACTAGTCGAGCACGACAAAATTAGAGTAGTGTTTGTTGACTGTGTGACAGTGAAGAGGACTCAATTGTAGGGTAGGTATTCTTGAATGCAAGTCTGGAACCAACTGTGTAGGAAGGTGTGTAAACGACGTTAGCCTGGAGCCAGATTTTATGATTTACTCAATGCATTGTTTTGTAATTATGAGGGTTTCTTTTGACATGACATTTGTTCCATTTCCTCCAAGGTCCCATCCACTGATCAAACAATTTGGTTTGGCGATTCAACCGAGGCCAGTGGAAGTTAACGCACGCGTTATCCAACCGCCAACTGCTGGTTTTGGTCGTTCCGGTGTACAACAGCTGACGGCAGGTAGTTGGAGCACGCCTGGCTTTCTTCACCCTGCCGGCGAAGGAGTAGAAATAATGTGGGCTGTACTTAGCATTCCACCTAATCAGGTATGTTTTCTACTCCGGTTCAACATAAGATTAGTGCTGTAACAAAGTTGAGTTGTACAATCACTTGGGCACCGAATTGACATTGTAGACTTGGTCATTTGTCGATTGTATCAACATCGAAGGGTACCTCGCCTAGTTCCATGACAGCCCACCTACTTCATTGTTCACTGCATTACGTCGGTGGTAATATCATCATCTTTTATTTGTCAGTGTTTAATGCTCTGTATACAAAGAGGAGGTTTTGTCTGCCTTTTAATAAAGTGAAAGAAATGCTGTCAGATAGGTAGAGTAGCCTGAGAAGTGTGCACTTAATTCTGGTTTGTTGTCAAAAGGCATGTGTTATTGTTGAAAACAGTTAATCGCTTTTATAAATTTGGACAGTGTTTTTAGAAGACGGAGATTATCTGAAAAGTGAGATGTATTTGCGCGATACATTTGGAAGAATTATTATTGTCAAATGTAAACGCGAGAACTGACTGCTTCATCTCCTTGCCATGTTTTCTTCCTAGCGGTCTCATGGTCATGTTCAGAAGGTGATATCGGAATTGCCTAGAGCGGCCAGTCGCTTTGGTGTTCGGTTTAGCCCTCGACCGATTGTGGCACAGTGTCCGAGAGGAGAACTTAACAGGAGGTTCGAGGAGTTTTCCAGACAAGGCTGTGGCTTCTTACTTCTCATCTTGTACGATGAACATTTCTACTCATCGATTAAACGTCTGAGTGACCTACAAATGGGGATTCGGACTCAATGTGTACGAGCTCGTACTCTGGACAAACCGAACGTTTTCCGTAAGTAATGCGTGTTGTTCACATGTAGCCTTCAGTGTGTTTCTGTATTTCGATGAGTTTAATTCGGTTTTCTGCTTTCAGCGAACCTGTTACTCAAACTGAATGGGAAACTCGGCGGTGTGAACTGGCGAATTCCTGACCTAATTAAGGACAGTCAAGAGTTGGTTATGGTTTTCGGAGCCGATGTCACTCATCCTGCGCCTACACAAACTCATCAGATTCGAAAGTCAGTAGCTGCTGTTATCGGCAGTGTTTCACCCGATCTTATGAGATACGGGGTAGTTATCCGTCAGCAGGCAACCACAGAAAAGGGGAATAAGGCAGCGAGAGAAATAATCGATGATATGCGTCTCAGTGTCAAGGAGCTACTCCAGGTTAGTTTTCATCAATGACCAACTCTACTGACTCACGTTCCCCTTTTTCCCGTTGTACGCTTTCGTTCTTCCCTATTATTTGTGTTTTGTTGCAGCTTTACCTGCGTAACACGAACGGGCGTTTCCCGACGCGCATGATATTCTATCGCGATGGAGTTTCGGAGGGCCAGTTCGAAAATGTGCTGGTGGAGGAGCTGTGTGCAATTCAACGGGCTTGTGCAGATGTTCGTCCTGGCGAAGAGCCTGCTATCACTTATATTGTTGTGCAAAAGCGTCACCATATTCGATTTAGACCATCTGACCCCAGGTAAGGTATTTGCTCATGATGTTTCCTGTGTACGTACTACACTTTATTCGTGTCTTAACGGTCTGTTTGAATGCTTTGTTAGGGCAAGAAACGTGGAGCCGGGACGGTGGTTGATACAGATATCACGCATCCCAGGGAATTTGATTTCTACCTCTGCTCTCAGGAAGGGATTCAGGTAAATTGTTTCTTTGTGCTAATGCCATTACTTTTAGGGTACATCGAAACCTGCTCACTATCACGTGTTGTATGATGATAGTAACTGGACATCGAATGCTCTTCAGATGTTCACCTATCACTTATGCTACGCGTACATGAGGTGTTCCCGTAGCGTCTCGTATCCAGCGCCGACTTATTATTCTCATTTGGCTGCATTTCGGGCACGTGAGTGGTTATCGGACATAGAGAAACCAGAGATTCTGTTAGATGCTGGTCGTTTCAGAGTTCACAGCAGTCAAGTTGACGGCATGTTCTACTTATAAACAGATTTTGTTATTTTCATATAAATTGTATTTCCTTTTGAATCCATCTTCCCTTTTAATAATAATAATAATAAGTATGATGATAATTATTTACTTCATCCGAAAAGCAGTACTTGTGATAGAGAATGGGATTTTCAGCATTAATCACAATATTTCATCAAATTATAAATGAAATTAATCACATAGAAAAATTTCCCAAAACATGCAGCATATAAAATGGAAATAATAATAATGATAACAGCTAAGGTAATAGTAATAATAATACAAGTGAAAACTTCCGTTGGCCTCTTTCAAACAGTATTGTCGATGAGGTATGGTAATCCTAGAATGTTTGAAAATATTGAATACAGTGTTCTCTTTACATGATATGGTGAGGGGGGAAAACAAAGATCACAGCAGTCATAGACAAAAGTTGGTGTTTGCAATTATTAAAGTAAAACAAAGAAGCAACAGAACCATAAATATAATAGGAATAATAAAAGTAAAACTTGAAGGTATATAAGGATGGATGGAGGAAATTGTTTATTTACTAGATGAAAGAAGGTTAGTTAACTGTAGTTTGTTAGGGTGATGATAAGGCATCGACGTAATACTCTTAAGAAACCTTGAACACTTCACAGTTGGATGGTTGGTTCGGACATGTTTTCTGGGAATAGGTGGCTGACTGACTGCGTTATAGGTGTTCTGACCTCTATGTCGCTGCTGTTTTGACGAGGAATCGGTTGATGAGGCAGTGTCAACATCTGGCATTGATAAGTCCATTAACGTGCGTGTTGTGAGTAAGAGTAAAGAAGGTGTAATTTCGAAGCTAGTTGTCCGTACTCTTGAGCAGGGATTTCGGAGATGCATGTCTTCTGTGGCAATGTGAATTCCAATAATTTATTTGGCCAAGATGGTGGTTAATCTGAATAGTTCGAGCGTTTCTCGGTGGATATCACAGCTGTTAAGGTCGATTGATCACTATTTGCGTAGTGAATGATTACCTCAAATGCTGTTTTATTTTACTTAGATAAGAACACAGTATTTATGTAATGGGTACCGAGTGTTAATTGCGACATCGTGATTGATTACAATTCCCAGTTGTACGGGATGATGACGTGCTGAGGCACTCATTCGTATGATCTTAGACCCCACGTAAGAAATCGTAGGCTATCGACAGACGCCAAACCAGCACAACTATGCTTCATGGCAGACGTTGGAATGAGACAAACCAGTGTACTGTACTTTGAAGAGCCTGAAACTCCGAAGTGATGCAGCCATTGGCCTTCGATGGTTTTGCAAATGGTATGCGCCGCAATTTGGGAAACTAACTTATGCGAAATGGACGGTCATGAGTTACTTCAGTGTATATCAGTTTGCATTTCCCATTTGAGGTATTTCGCGTCAATTATCCAGGGGGTGTTTTCCACGTAATTTCTATATTTTGTAGAGTACTACGACACTTTTGAGGCTTCAGGTATAGTTTAGTGTGACTAATAGCTGAGTCATCCCGATTTCCGAATAATTGGTGATTAAACCTTCCTTAGTATATCAGCGCTATGAGGGAGTTCCACAATGAGGTGATAACTATAGTTGGGGTTCTGAATTGAGGGCATTTTCTATGCCCGCACTATTGTTGTTTAACTAGTAGTAGTTGCATGTGAGAGGGTGTTCTGTTGCTGCTCGCTTTCCACTCAGTCCAATCATCCTGCAACGCCAGCGTCGACCGACCAACCTTGATTACGCCACATAACACAACACACGAGTAATATTAGAATGTCAATCTCACCCGTTACAAGATATTGAGTCAAACATGTATGTCATCAATCACAATGGAGAGGATTTAAGAACTATCTGGTTGCAGTGACGAAAATCACCTTAACTACTCTGTGTAACATGAGTTTATATGATATGACAAGAAGTGTTATGATATGGTTGTCTGGATGAAGTTTTTGGCACAACATATGGTCCATAGTATAGAGTTGACAATGAGCAGTAAATTGTGCTCTGAACGTTATCCGGTCAATTACACTACATCACATAAATTCACGTAATACTGCACCACATTACGTGCCCAATGTCTCCTACTGCGATCAGAAGTTCTCTATGAATCCTTAGGTAAAAGCAGCATGAAAGCACTGGAGATCTAGGCATGTGTGCACGATTGACATATAATCTAGTGGGACGGATTGGCTGATATAAACTGCGTGCCATACAATTGGATGAACTAGCGAAATACATTGATATTTGACTTGTTAGTGTTGACAAAGTGAATAGTACTAGACAACCTACCGTAATAGGCGGGTCCAGTTAACAGACATGCATAGAAGTTCCTACAGAAATCACATCTTCAATTCTAGCCTTAGACACTCTTAAATTCAGCTTATTATCAACTGAATGTGATACGAGCAATATGAGTAGTGGCTAGCAGTGGACGCGTGTTTCATCCCATTTGAGATTCGTCAACTGAGTGTACCTACATGTACATCCTGGTGATGGTGTTCACAATGAGACTCGACTAGGTAACCATTGTTTGACACAACCGAACGTTGTTCAGTAGACTATTGGTCGATGGCAGTCATTTTAGTGCAGTGAGCGTGAATTGTTATTTCTCAAAAGTTGTGACTTGATGCTACTTGTTAGGTTATAATAAGCACGACTACAGTAATCACCATCGTAAGTCAAATGGTACATGAAGAAGCCAACTGGTCAGCTTGTCAATCATATCACTTCCTTCACATATCATTTTATTGTCTTGCCATTCACAACTGGCCGTCGTCCTATAAAAATGAGCCGGTAGCTGTTACTTTGTCCCCACTAATATCCACATCTACGATAGAGTTTATTATATATTGTATTTTCTGATATTTGCTCTCGGTGTTTAACATCCTTGGTGCTTTTTGCATAACATGGGATTGTTGTGATTAAAGAATCCGGGAGTGAGTCGACTGTTAAAACATTCATGTGTATGATAACATATACAGATATAATACCAAATTGATGGTTTACAATCACAGGGTGACAATGAATACACAGTAGTGTATGTCCATAATTAGTGTTTAACATGTATTTCACTTAGTCTGGTGATAAATTCCATAACATCGGGGGACGGAGTGAAGAGTCCTTTGTGTGTGTGTGTGTGTGTATGTATGTTAGTGTGGGAGTGTTAATGTTTGTTCCCACTGGAATGGTAGTCGTGAGATAATGTTGATCATAGTTGTAGGCTCTTGTAGTGTGAGAAGGTCAGTACACAATGATCATTATCATAAAGACAGCCACTAATTATCCAATGATAATCTTTGCTTTCTGAAATTCGTACCAACTGACTTATATATGCTATTTATTAGCAGAGAAAATGAACTGACTTTCAAAGTAATTTTAATTCACGTTGAGCTCCTCTAGACATCTGTATGGAAGGCGATTCGTTTTCTGAGGTGTCATCCTATTCTACTTCATTCGCCAACGCTTCCTGAAAGTGTCTGTTTTCTTTCCTACCATTGTTGATTCGTCTGCCCAACGAACTGTAGGTTGTACCCAGCTCATTCTCCCGTTGTTCGTCACTGCACTGGTTTATCTTCTACTTCCCCATCCTTCTGCCCTCTATCAGCCGCATAGCTTCTGCAGAGAGCCTTTTCGTGTCTTATCTCTTCTCACCTTAAGTGTCTATACAGGTTTCTCCGCACGTCGTTTTTAGAAGGTCCCAGTGTACTCCCAGGCAGATTACACCGGTGATTTTGGTTATTGTCTCCGACATTTTCCTGTTGTCTGCTGTGAAGGTGTCCTTTGTAGCCCGACCTTCAGTTTCTGAGCGTTCAACTTGAATTGTGGTCCATCTCCAGATTATTTGGTGGTTTTCAAATGGACCATGGAGGTTTGTTGCACTAGATTATGGTCTGAACCTACGTCTTCTTCTCATCTCGAGTAGCGCTGTATGGTTGTAACCTACGTTCATTTTGAGTTTAATCTCTCTGACAGTATTCTGGAGGAGAATGGTTCCCATCACATAAAAGTCTTCAGTGTGCTGTTGGCGAAATGATGATAGCGACTTACTCAGTGTGTTGGTGGTTGTCGTTTAGGTGAACGGAGTAGATTATCGAGTCTCCAGTTAACAGTCAGGGGAGTCCACTTCCATCCTACCTGCTCTCACAGATTCCAAGTACTTCAATATCATATTCATAGCAGTTGAAAGTGTACAAGCCTAGAGAGTGAAGGTGACAACGTGTATATGATCCTCAGAAAGGCTCTCACTGAAGCCTCAAAGAGAATCCGTTTGAACCAAGGCATTCTTGTAAAGAGTTTGGATAAACGGCTTGGTCGTATTATTAGATAGAGTTAACTACGTCGATAAGATGAACAGCATCGTAAAGGACAATGTAAAATTGCGAAAATTCCACATCGACAAAGAAGACAGCAAATAGAAAGGGAGTTTACGGATATGCTGAAGACTAGTTTCCAACCTTGTAATCTCACCCCGAATTTTCGAATTTCTTCAGCTTGTAGAAAGAAATATGCCTAGAATGAGTGAGCTACCTAAATTTCACAAGCCAGACTTGTCAATACGTTCACATGTGAGCATGTACATGTGATACATGTGTAACTCACCGTATCACAGAGTGGGAAGATGATTGTCTCATATACTTAGACAACAATATATATATATATATATATATATATATATATATATATATATATATATATATATTAGCTTATATTTGAA